CTCTTCCATTTCCTTGTTTAATTAGAGTGTGTTTCCAAAGCAGATAAATTTAACACTTTATAAACAATTGGTTCTCATCTACTACATGCAGCTGTTAAAGACACAAAAAGGTGTACAGTCCCTGTCAGAAAGGGATCTGCTTCTAACCCAAAGAAATCAAGTTATTTTTAAAAGAGTAAATACTATTTTGCTGGTTAAGGTACCATAACACTAGGGCACTTTAGAGGGAGTGGAATATCCCCAGGCGCTAAAATGTATTAGGGGCTGTTTTATAAGGAAAAGTAGGGGGGACACAGAGCTAATGCCTGTAATCCTAGCACTCTGGGAGGCTGGGACAAGAGGATACAAGTTCCAGCTCACCCTGGGCAACTTACCAAATTAGCAACACTCTGCCTCAAAAAGGAGAGTATAATTAGGGATGTAGCTCAGTGCAAAGACCCTGTATTTCCCAAAATCAATCCCCACACCCTCTCCAACACACAAACAAAACTAAAAAAGAACATGACCTGGACTCTAGGGATGGAGGAAACAGCACATCCCAAACAGGGACAAAAATCATGTGATTCAGCTGGTGAGAGGAACTGTGTGGAGAGAAGCATATGGAATACTTGAGCAAACCATTTGGTGAGTGGAGATTAGGACAGAGCCTGCAGGTGGGCTGAGGACAGCTGGGCAACAGCTCCTTGAATGCCACCATCAGGACACCAGTATCACCCATTAGTCCACTGAAGATCGACTTCAATTTAGGACTAATACAGGACCTTCAGATTATATAGGGCGAAACGCATAACTTTCAACCTACTAGATGTCAGATATACCGAGCCTGTGTTTCCCAAAATCAAGGATTGAGTTCTAAGGAACAAGGAAAGTTAAGAGTAGGAAATTTGCTGGATGTGGTGGTACAGACCTGTAAGCCCACCACTCAGGCGGCTGAGGTAGGCAGATTGCCACAAATTCAAGGCCAGCTTGAACTAAAAGAGTAGGAAATTTTATTGAAAGATAAACAGCTCCAGAGAGAGACAGGAGGCCCAAGTGGGTTGCCAATGAGCCTACTTCTCAAATGATGCTTTATACAGCAAAATCACTAAGTAGGTACAACATGGGACAAAACTATGATCAACCAATAAGGTTAAACATGTAGCCACGGGGCCGGGGAAATGGCTCAGTAGAATAAGCACTTCCCTGGCAAGCACAAGGGTCTGAGTTCAATCCCCAGTTCTGCCAAAAAAAAAAAAAAAAAAAAAATGTAGCCACTTAGGTAATGTTGAACCAATCCAAAAGCAAGTAACATAGCCAAGTGTACATGGACAGAACAAAACTTTTCAGAAAGGGATGGATCTAGAGGTCTTGTTGACCACCAACACAAGTCAACTGATGTCTAGCTAGATTTCATTGGACCAGGTGTTACAGTTATCTTATCCCTTGGGGAGGTATATAGGCCTGGTCATTCTGTCTTTATCTTGAGCTCTGACTTCCAACAGATGTGCCTCCTGCCACAGTTGTAATGTGTTTTCATCTTTTGTGCTGACTTGAGGACGTAGCCCCATGACTGCCTATAAGGTTTCTACTTAATTCATCTGTCTATAATAGAACCTCCAGTCTGTGAAGTATATTTCCCATACCAGCTGTACTGAAGTTTACACATGAATTATACAAAGGCAAATCAAAGTAGAGGGCCTGCTACTATGAGTCTCACTCATTTGTACTTAAGTGCGCAAGTTTTGCCATATACAACCTTCGGGTAAATGTGTTGAGTTAAGCATCATCAATGGCAGATGATGCTTGCTTGGGCAGCACACATAAGCTGCTCCTAGATGGTCATGAGGCAGTAAAGCATTAAACAGAAGACAATAAAAGTTCTTTGATATGCTCTGATTTCCTTGGAACCAATGTCTAATATTTGGCTAGGCCAAGGGCCCCTAAGTCTCCTAAAATTATTCAAAAAGTAATACTGAGTCAGTATAGTGATGGAAGTCTGTAATACCTGGTAGTAGGGGTGTAGCTCAATAGTAGAGCATTTACCTACCATGCCTAAGTTCTTCTATTCAATTCTCAGTAAGGCAAAAATGTAAAAGGTTAAAAAAAGAAAAAAAAAAAAGAAACTCTGAAGAGACTACCTC